TCTATTTTCTCTCTCTCTCTCTCTCTCTCTCTCTCTCTCTCTCTCTCTTGCAATTAAAAAAAGATGAGAGAGCAAAAAACTTATATTTATTTTTAGCAATGTAAATTAATTTTAATCTTGATTTAATTTATTTTTTTATCTTTTTTATTTGGAAGGTTTAAAATTTATCTCTTTATCTTTTTATAATTTTTATAATAAAAACAATAAAAATAAATTAAAGATGAAATTAAAATTAATTAACACAGATAAAAATGAATATTAAATAGCTTCATTGTTTTTACTCAAGTAAATTCTTTCCTTTTATGGTGTAGATTATAGAGTTGATGCAGAATAATAAAATTTAAATGGTCACTTTTGATCACGTGATCTATTTTGATGCTGAAAATGGGCGTCAAGCGTCAACATGAAAAAGCACCTTAAAGCGTAGAAAGTTTGAGATGGTGCAATTTTGAGAAACATAACCAGAACAGACTCATTACAGGAGAAACATAACGTTGAGTGGCGTGCCGCTATTTTTATTTAACGGAAAAACACTTCAAAGTTTGATAATATTTATTTAATCAGAATAAAACATGCCGAAAGTACGACGAAGCAAGAAACCGCCTCCAGATGGTTGGGAGTTAATCGAACCGACTTTGGAGGAATTGGAACAGAAGATGCGCGAAGGTGAGTTTGCTTTTCGTGAGGTTAGATTGGTTGTTTCATCTAAAGAATACTTTAAAACGCGAAATCTTACAGCTGAAACGGAGCCTCACGAAGGCAAAAGAAAGCAGGAATCTTTGTGGCCGATATTTAAAATCCATCATCAGAAATCTCGATATATTTATGATTTATTCTACAGAAGAAAGGCGATCAGTCGTGGTAAGTATTACTTCGCTATCTTTAAAGATTCATTAAAAAAGAAGAATATCTGATTTCATGTTCTCTTTTCTTGCTTCAGAGTTGTACGACTACTGTCTGAACGAAAATATTGCAGACAAAAACTTGATTGCTAAATGGAAAAAGGTTGGCTATGAAAATTTATGTTGTCTACGTTGCATTCAAACAAGAGACACGAATTTCGGCACCAACTGTATCTGCAGAGTACCAAAGGGTAAACTCGAGGAAGGTCGAATAGTGGAATGTATACATTGTGGCTGCAGAGGATGTTCGGGTTGAATGCGACATCTTTCTGCGTAAGGCACTTTATTGCTAGAATTACATTGTGCGTCTTGTATTTTGTGATAAAGCTCACATCTTTTTACTCGATCGCCAGATGCCACTTATTGCGCTCTGTAAATCGAGCGGCAAGATACAGCGGAGTTTGTACGCGCCAGTCATATGTAACACATTTGTTTTCAGATTCAATATTCACTCGCAACACGTGAACATTTTTCCGGAAGGCGGAGATTGTAATGTGTGTAGCGGAATGCATTCTCGGCAGACGCATCAATTTCTCATCACCATCCATGAAGATTTTGCCTTGAGCCGTAATCATTAGCGACGCTGCTCTCTTTAAAGTGTCGTTTTTACCTTGCGGATCGTAAACTAATGCAATACCTTCGTCGTCGCTTCCTTCTTGCGGAATTTCTAAAAACTGTACGATAGGTAAATTTAAAGCATAAAATATAAATAATAAAACCACTTTGCTTATAATTACCTTGAATTCAATTATGTGATTTGCATCAAATTGAGAATCTTGTGAGAATAATGTACTTATGGCATCCGTAACTTTTGCAGCAATTTTACCATTATTAGTGATCAAATAATCCTTGTTATTTAATTCCCAGCCTATAAAATTATTGTGAATGATTTTTATTATTATTACATCGATATTTCACATGAAAACATGAAGCATTTTCTAAACTCTCCTTTTCCCAATATCATATCGTTAGGTCAAATTATAATATTTAAATATCGTAGAAAAGTTTTATTTTTAATCCAAAGATAATTTCTTTTTTTTTGCATACTGTACGATGGTATAGAAGTCCGTGCGACGTGATGTATGCTCCTTGCAACGTTGTCCGCTTGTATTCTAACTCTGAGTGTAATTGGTTCATCAATAGGTATATTTCTGATAAAGCAAAAGGTTTCAGATCCTTTGTACACTGTTTCAAATTTGCTCGATGTTGGATCGAGAATCTCCCCGTTAGCTTTCTCCACGATGAACGTCTGTTCCTCGGCGATATATTCCGGATTAGTTACGTGCCATTTAACAAACAAGCCCGCTGGTCTCTCTTCAATACTCATTATGTGAACGGGTACTGTACGAGAGATGCAGCCAAATCTCGATATTTGCTCCATGATCTCTTCCTTGTACGAGTTCAATGGACGATCGAAGTTTATATTTGGAAGCTCTTCGGAGTATGGCACTGCCGGAATCCTGGAAAATGATGTATCATTTAATTTCCAAGATGATCTCGATTTTTCTCTTGCAATCGTAATGTTCTCACCTGCCTATGTCATTACTCGCAAAAATAATCTTTCCAAACTCATTCGCGCTATATCGCTGTGGTTGCTGCAGAATATCTTTGCTCATCGATATGATATTCTGTGCGTTTCGCATCTGTGCCTCCACCTCCTTTCTACAAGCTCTTAATGGTATCAGACTCTCCTGCTTGTGAATTTCTGCTTCCAATATCAGATGTTCACGTCTCTTATTAATCTCATTGCATACATCATCTAACAAAGATTGAAACGTCTCGTCTATATCCTTCAACGTTCTCATCATGCTATTTTCTATCTGACAAAACAATTTTTTGTATTAATGAGGATCAACATGCATAAGAACAAGTAACAATTTTAATGGAATTAAATCAGTGAACTTTAAGAATGATATTTACCTGCTGATCAGCACTATCAAGATCTTTCAATTGATAATCCAATTTTGTTATGTATTCCTGTGCGGATTGGATGATGCCTTTAACATTTTCTTCCACATTACGTGGTAATGCTTCTCCTTTCTGAACGAACGTACCCTCTGTATCGATACATGGAACGTCTGTATTCCAATTTTTATTACGATCTTGCTCATACTGATTTAATTTCTTTAATGCATATGTTAATCTCGTCAGAAGTTCTTCCTTCTTCGTTTTTTCATTACCATTATCGAATATCACAGAATTCTTACTAGAAATATTTGGCGTTAATGGTTTTATCATATAACTATGTAATAATTCATGATTGTCAACTTGGTCTATCTCCAATTTATCTGACAACTTTTGATTGGTCAGTGCTTCCAGGATTCGTTCCATATCTGGAAAAATAATCAAATTTGGATTAATAAATAATTAATGATGATAATTCAAATATATGTTCGCTTTAAATTCTTTGTATTAATTACAGATATTGCTTGATTAAATTGTGCCAAGAATATTTTGCGTTGCAATCACTAGTGTCAGCTTGAATTTCTTTCTCAGCAAAGGTTTGCGTTTGTTGATTGTTTAATATCAAGTATTTCTTCGACCTTTTTTCTAAATATTTCACATGATCTCGCGGTTTAGCAACTATTTCATTATTGCCAATTTGAGCTTCGTTCTCGTTCTCGTTACAATTCTTGTTTGGTGCTAGCAATATGCCATTCCAGTAATCTGGATCACTACAATTATGTAAAGAGGCTTGCGTACTCATCCCTATAATTTGCCAAGAATATTTAATGCGCATCTTGTATATATTCCTATTATGATCCTCTACATCACTATTATTTAATAAATCTTGCAATAGACTGTACGACGTCTGTGTACTAGTTCCAATAACTTGCCAGGAATATTTTATTTTACAATCGTAAGGGTTTCTACCATTCTTCCCAATAATTTTTGTTTCACATATACTGTCACGTTCTTCTCTTTGAGAAGGCAGTATCCAATTATTTATTTCACATGAGTATTTAATATCATGTGCAGCTTTAGCCTTGTTTTCCATCACATTTTTTTCCTTAGTAAAATCATAATTCTGAATTTTGGTTAAGCTATAATCATCAGTAAAAGACCAATTCGTGTTAGTCGACTTCAAATGGGATTGTGTGAAATGTGAGAAGTCATTTCTTGGAATGTCATTTTCATAATGTAAAACGTTTATTTCATATTCGCTGTTAGTGGGATGCAAGTGATTTGACGTTACGCTTGATAACGATTCCTTCCTTTTTACAATATTTGCAAAAGTTTTCTTATTTTTAATCTTTAGACTTGACACTGATAGTGGCAATACTGTCGAGATACTGTTTACAATATCGTGAAATGATTGACTTTCTGAAGATACAGCTGATTTACTCATGACGCTACTAATTGGTGCTTCTATTTTTGGCAAGACTGCAATCATATTTCTACGTTTTATCTGGTTCTCTTTCATCCGCGACAGATCACACTTCCTTGACAATTCTATTGATCTTGAGCTCGCCTTGTGCAGATCTTGGTCATTTGCTGATGACTCAAATTGTGTGAACGTTGTATTAGGAAAGCATAACATGTTATCCTTCTTCTTGCGAGATAGTCGCTTCGATGAGCAAGACGTAGTATATTTCGTACTTTGATTCTTGCATTTCCAGCGGCCGAGTTTTTTTACCTACGGTTTCAGAGAGAAAGAAACTGATGCTTTAAAAAAGATCTCGCTGAGATCACTCAAAGACGTGTGATAGGGAAAAGAAAAGTATATTTTTCACAGTATACAGATTTTGATTGACCTCAGGTGAATTCTTTGGATCATATAATGTATGCAACGGTGTTTCTGAGAACAACAATGCGGGATTGTTTTTGTAGTTCGGTACCCTCAAAATCGCAGGTTTGTACTCCAAGTAGGAGATATTAAAGCTCTGTTTGGGAGGTACGGGTTTTACAACGGGAATCATCACGTTCCTGGTATGCAGCATTACATCTGGCGAGATCGTTTTTTTCTGAGGTTTAGCACATTCTGCATGACTGCTTTTCGCAGTCGAATCTCCCATGCTAAACACTTCTGCAGTAAAGCGTATTACACGTATCACATACAAGGAATGTTTCTTATATACATGAATGTTCTCTTTCAGCATGTATCTTTCTCAATTGTAACCTATAAACTCGAACTCGTCTTTTTCAAGTCGAAAATTAAATGTAGAATCGAGGCAGAGAATTATCTTCGCGCTCTTCGCGACACACGTCGCATTTTGCGAACGTGAATTCAAAATATGCACGCTGCGAGAAGCAAAAAAAAGCATATCTGTACAAAGTATGAAATTTGACGACGTACTTTGTTACTTAAATGTACTTAAATTGATGCATTATAAGCGATGTTATTTTATTAAATAATTATTTCGATATTTTACAAATTCAACGTGTTTTATGAATGATTCATGTTGAAAGGAAGAAAGAGATAGAGGAAAGGATGTGTCAATATGCTGGTACATTTTTGAGATATAATACTCACAGAATTAGATTAACTTAGAGATAATTAAAACCGGAAATCTGGCAAGAATGGGCGAGACACGCGAGAAATTTGGAGGACGGATGATTTTGCCGAAAGATTATAACATTTGAAACGCACGGGTGGATCTTCACAGGCGATGCATCTTGACACACTGAATCGTTCTAAATATAACCAATGCGGTCGTGGCATCATGCTTCGGAACGAAAAGTGACGAAGAGTCAATTAACGCGCTTATAAATCCTAGCCACGTAACGAACCTCCTTTAACAAACTTTTTTTAACGTACTTTTCGAAATTATAAATCGACATTTTGCATGTCGATATTTAATTTATATGATGTTATAATAAAGAAATCTCAATGCTTCGTCTCAACGCTTACATTGCTATATTTAAATGATAAAGTACAGAGTTTCTCATAGTATTATATATACATGTTATATTATATTTAAATGTATAATACAGTCCAATATCACATGATCCTCCCTGATAAATTAAAGCAATGCTGTTCAGGATTAATAGTTCTGCTTAGATACATGTCAATATTTATGTTTATTACTTTCTTTATTTTTCAATCCATAGCCATCTTTTTTCATAACTCAAGAGGATGAGATTAGGCTAAAATTGTTAAAAATTTCTGACGTATATTAATGCTGTTTGAAAATACATTATTACTATTATTATAAAATACTATTATTCTTAATTATATTTTATAATAATTATTATAAAAATACATAGAGTATATAATAATACGCATAAAAGTCAAACTTTATACGTATGTTCTAAAGACACACGTCAAAAACTCATAAAGATTTCAGGATAGTCTCATCCTTGAAATCGATCGAAAAGACAATTACGAAATGAGCGGTAAGAAAGGCAGTATATGTGAATATCGACATGTTAGTATCTAAGCAAAACTATAAATCCTGAACAGCATTAAGATAAAATCAAAATATGAGAAACAACAATAACTATACACAATAATAATAATAGTAACAATAATGCGGAGGAAAAATAATGTATTGTTTGTTGATAAGTTTTGATATCTCCGATATTTTTTAGGTCTCTAATTTCTCAAAATAAATATATTTTTATACAATTTTTTTGCACAGAGAAAGAATCTCATTCAGAATCTTTTACCGGCATCTAAATCCTTTATCACAAATTTCCGCATACGTTGCGTTAGATAATATAAATGTACACCTCCTACGCCAAATTACTATTAAAATCATCAGCTATAAAACTTCGTCCGGATTTCGCTAGATATAGAAATGATTACAAAATGATTATGTAGTAGAACGTGCCGAAAAGTGCGTTTGCGTGATCAAAGTTTCGTGGAGAATTCGTAGGCTATATGTAAGTTTTCGTTCCGTAATGTTTTTCGACAAAATTAATTCTGCCTCTTTGCCAAAAGCTGATCGATTTGCGTTTTGTACATCTCCTTGACGTCCTGAAGGTCTAGAGTCAGTTCTTCGTTCTCTTCAACCTTCTCTCCGTACATTTGCAGCAGCGCGTCGTATTTGGTCTGTATATCGCTAAGACTTTCATTGAGTTCCTGTGCCGCCGAGACTTGATTATTCAAATCTTCGACCTTTAAACTTAACGTCGCTAATTCCGAGTTCAACGCATCCCTCTCTGTGTTTCGTCGAGACAATTCCCACTGGAGTTGCTGTATCTCACCTACGACGATAAAATGAAATCAGTGACTTAATAACGAAGAACACGATTCAATATCAATAAATATTTAAACTTACCATCTCTTTGCTTCAATTGCGCTTGTAGGTTTTCAAAGATCGACGTACTATTTGAACCTGCTATAATGCTTTCGTATGGTATTGGAGGAAATCTGCCAGAATTATTATCGAATACTGAGTCGCTAAACTGAAAAAAGCACATTTATAATTTATGCAGTAGTTGTTGACAGTGATCTCGTAATAATTATACATACACTTGGCCAGATGCTATTTGCACTGCTGACGGATTCTTGTCCTATACTGAGAGTAGGACTACGTCGTGATTCGTCGTCAGTAATCTGCTGCTGTTCCAGTATTGCGTTATTTCTCCTCCGTTCTGCATCAGTCGCTGCTTTCTCCACAGCTAACTTATTCTCTAACGCGTTTATCTCTCTCTTCAATTCCTGTACATAACTGGAGTGTGTCTGCTCGAGAGTATTTATCGCATCCTGATGTCTATAAATTAAATACGTCATATTAAGTATATATAATTTCAAACAGTTGTATTTACATATTTTAAATACTTACATTTTATTTTGTTCTAATAACATCTCATTTTCCTTTTTTAATGTATCGTGCAATTCTTGCAATTTCGATCTTTCTTTCTCTTTTAAATTGAGTTTCGATTCTAAATGCGACTCTTTGGATTTTAAATTAATATTTTCTTCTCTCAAAAGACGATCCATCTCGGTTAAATTTTCGATTTTAGATTGCAATTCGATATTCTTCTCTGATAAAACCTTCTCTTGCTTCATGAAACTGTTAGTTTTATGCTGTAAGTTTGCTTGAAGCTGTTCTATCTGTCTTAACAGAGGTTTCGTTGCTATCGATACTGATTCAGATAATTCTTCACTTCTAGCCTCTGCGGCTTCTAATCGTTTGAGTAACTCGTTGTTTTCGTGTTTAAAAAATTCTTCTCTCCTATACCACAAGAAAACGAACACTGTTAGAATTTAAAAAATTAATTACACGATTAATAATTTAATATATGATTTTTACTTGACGTGAGCTTCCTCAGCTTGACGATATTTCAACTTCAAATCCTCCACTTGCGCAAACAATTGACACGATTCGCCCGCATTATCTACAGCTTCTTTTAATTCCTCTTCCGTTGCTAGCAATTTTTTCTTCGTTTCTGCTAAGTCCCTGTTACGCAGAAACTTTTTATTACATACAATAAGCTCGTTTTATTTTTAAATTAATTAATGATTCTACACTCACATTTTTGCAGCATCCAAGCTTTTTTTATAGGCCTCCATCTTGTGCACAGCATTATCTAATTTTTCTTGTAACATTAATATTTCCTTCTCTTGCTTCTTCGTTTTTGCTGTCAGCGTGTGAACCGCTTCTATTTGACTACGCTCTACCTCTTCCTTCGCGTGCAGTGATCGTTTTAATCTTTCCAGTTCCATATTTTGTTCCTCAATTTGCTCTCTGAAAAATTGTCGATAAATAGAAATAAAAATTGCGACAAATTTAATTATTTGCTTTGATTAAAATTATAAAAGAGAGAGAAGTGAAATACTTTTGACTTTTTATTATTGCATCAGTTTCCTTTTCCTTCACGCGCAATTTTTTTATGATATTGCTGTGTTGAAGTTGTTGTTTACTAAGCTTCTCGCCCTCCTCGCGAAGTTCCTTTATAATTTCATCTTTCTCAGCGTTTATGCTAGACATCTCCTGCGATGATAAACGCGATGCCGCTTCTAATTTCAACTGATCTAAATTTTTCCTCAATTGATCACGTTCTCTTATCGCTTGTTGAAATTTCCTCTCCAACGCCGACAAACGTTGCGTATATTCATCTGTGATTTGATTTATATTTTGATTTTGCTCCGCGTGTTTTTCAAAATTTTCAAGCTGCCTATAAAACATATATTCATATCATCAGTTATTTGAAAATAGAATAGTACTTTGATACAACCATGATGATCTTACTTCATTAAATTTGCGTTCTGCTCGTGTAATTCCATGTTTATCCTGCTCACGTCGATTAACTTTGATTCTCTCGCTTCCAGAATGTCAGTCATTTCCTGCACGCGTTTCAATAGCTTTTCGATCTCCATATTCGTTTCATCCGAGCCTATGCTGATCTCACTTAATTCACGGGAATGACCGCGAGTCTTTAAAGTTTTCGTCAACAGATCACCGCCTTTACTCAGTTGCAATTTCGCTGGACTCTGTCGCGACTGAGTCGAACTCGAATCTCCGTTGGGACTGTTGACAAATAGTGAGCTATAAATATATTGATACTGTAAAAAAAAATTGCTAAATAGAAAAATATTATTATACTTGTACCTAGATATTATTTCAATATCGCTCGATGTTGTAGTTTCTAATTCGTCTCCGCTTGTATGTCCGCTGGCCTGATCGGATCCGATTTTCACCAGATCGGAGCGACTGTAAGAGAAATAGACTTTTAACAGAAATGCTATTATTATAAATTTGAACGATGTACATGAAATATTGAATAATACCTTTCTGACGATATAGGTGAATTCTCTCGTGGGACTTCCGCACAATGAGTCTCCATATCGATTATTTCGCCTTTTTCGACCATGGCATCGGCTAGCATGGTCTTCACATAAGAACTAGTGGTCAAAGGTGTGTCTAAGACTTTGGAATCATTCGTGCAGATCAATGTCGCGTTATCTTCCGAACTGCTCTCTATCAAGGTGCCTTCTCTACTCGAATCGGTAGATATTAAATATTGATCGGTATTGCTCTCAATCATCTTCGTTCCCTCCACGTTTTCGACTTGAGAATAACTATCTGGATCTGGTGGCTCTATAGTAGTACTCATTAACTGGGAAAAAGTGGAAACGTCCGGCTTCTCGTTCATTCCCTCTAGATGGTCCACTTTGCGAATTGGTTGTGTAGTAATCGGCTCGAGTGTTAAATGTAGATTATGTTTCTCCTTTAGTGAATCGAGACTCAAGTTTAACTTGTTCTCCGTGCAAGGCTTTATCGACATTTGCCTATCATCCGGACATGAATCGTGCATCTTAGATATCTTCACACTTACATCGACCAATTCCATCTTATTTTTAACAGTGTCCAATTGTTGCAACGACTCGAGTACCGTCATAACTGTACCTTCGGAAGCGGAAGTGTAAGAATCCTCAGCCAAGCTTATTTCATCCGGCTCGTCCATATCTGGTATGACCTCGACGCTCTCGGGCGAAGTTTTCGAGCTATCTGCCATGTGTGACGAACTTTTTGTGTCCAAGCTAGAAAACGCATTAGGTGATGGTGTGCTATCGACGCTGTACGAACTGGTATTCAATGTCTTGATTTCCTCCATAGGAGATTCGTACGGGGAGATGTCGGACGATGAAACTTCCGTGAGTTGATCTCTATTCGGCAGTTGTAGCATATCGGTACAATCTACGCATGGAGTGGCACAGTCGTCCCTATCAAGAACGGGAGGTGATTCAGAATTCTTCGGGTCTATCGGCGATAAATAGGGACTGCTGTCGCTCTTCCAATCTCCCAGGATCTCCACGGAACTTGGCGACGTTACCAGACTATCCGGCAGTATCTCAACGGATTCGGAAGTCACCTTGATACCGACGACGGAGGGACTTAACGAGTTAGTAACAGAATTGAGATCGGACTCTGGCGTGGTAGTGCAATCAGTGTTGGATTCCGAGCCGAGTATCTCCACACTCTCCAAGCTTTTCTTATCGCTCTCGGAAGAGACATTAGGTATTTTATGAAACACATTAGTGGGGCTCGATGTTCGATTGGTATTATTGCTATCCAATGCTGCTTCATTGCCGCATCGATCTCCATCTTCATCAGTACTCGTGGAATCACTGTCGGCATTCTCCGCCGTCGGCGCGTAATACACTTGCTCCAAATCTAAACTGGCACTTTTAGCTACAATCTTATCAGTACTAGTAGAAACAATGTTGTCTGGAGACGATCGTCCTGACAACATGCAAGATTCTGACGTGGTTTTATCATTAAATTCTTTAGACACGTTACGATTAGTATTTACAGATTCGCTGATTATCTTAGACTCCCCTTCATCTTCTTTATGTACAGATTCACATTTCGTTACTGTGGATTTTGAATCTTTCGTCGCCAATTTTTCAGGCGCGGAAATAGAAGATACCATGCCCTGTTGCTGTTCATCCTGATCGGCGGCGCTTTGCAATGACTTGGAATGCTTGACAGTCTTCCAGCTATTATCTATGATTTTCGGAGGTTCAAAAAACGAGCCTGTAAAGCTACCCCAAATACTGCTCGAATTTTGCTGTTTCTGTGGATTGTTATCACGCTTGGTAGTTTCCTGTTCACTCTGTAATCCCCAGCTCGCAAAGAAGTCTGAGGTCTCATCTACATGTGATTGAATGACCTTCGGTTCTTCCTCCTTAATGTCCAAGGCCTTGTCAATGGTCTTCTGAGCTCCCTTCAGGGCAGATTTCGCCAAATTGGCGAATCCCGTAGCATCAAACCAGCTCATGTTTTACATCTAGGACAAGAAAAAACTAAAGATAAATCCTTCTATTACTGAATACAGAGAGAACATAAACATAAATATAGCCTTCGATGTCACGAGAAATCATCAGAATAATCTGCATGTCACGTAAACAAAAATAACACCTCCTACAACTTCCCACAAAACTCATGTCATGTCCCTTTAGACGCAAATCCTCGAGAATCATGGGATTAACACCAAGTAACGGACAGACGCGCGGTGGTGTTATCCTCGCGATCCTTTCGAGAACACGCGTCAACATCACGCATTACGTGGCACTTCCTCTCCCTCCCGCATACGTGCTCGCGTTACCGTGATCGACGTACATGGCATCCTCCGGGGCAATCGCGACACCGAGGCGCAGTCTCGAGATCTCGTCGGAGTTTCTCTTCTCTCAGTGACCGACCTGCGTGTCGACTGTCAAAGTGCATTTAGCAGCCGACATGTTCGCGGCGGGTGGTCGTCGTGCGTGATCGCGCCAGTGTTGTCAACCTGCGCCCCTCGGCGCGATCTCTGCGCCAGCACAATTCCTTTTGCGTCCAAATAATTCGATTCAGACGATCTCACTTGGAAGAGAAAAAAAAAGAAATGCGACGATCGATCGTGCAAAATGCACTGTACGCACAACCTCAAATTTCACGGTGCGAAAACATTACGATTACTTTTGTTGTTTCTATTGCACTTTTCTACACTTTCCTCATTTTCTGTCTTCCTCCATCATAACCTGTATCTGACTTATTTTAATCCTATCGAACATTATCTTTTTTTTTTTTGAAAATTGAAAAGATAGTCTATTAACACAAAAAATATGTATTCTTTCGTTTCTTTTATTCAATCGTATTTTTCATAAGTTTTTCATAAGTTTTGTTAGATCCTGAAGTTTTATTATTTCTTTTTTCTTTTCGAAACTAAGGCATATAGCTATCTCGTCCTAAATGATCAGAGTACAGAAGAGTGTAGCTAAATCAACAAATTAACCATGAGTTGACGAGAGAAAAAAAGAAATTATGATGTCGTTAATCTTCTTGCAAATTGCCGGTGCGAACTGAATAGAAAGATCATGCGACAAAATAAATAAATATAATAAGTATAATGGATAAAAGAAATAATACATTAAGTTATGCTTAGCGATTATTCGAAACAGAATTGCACGTTCATTTTTACCTCAGCTTGATTTTTGTCGAAAATTGTCGAAATTATATTCGAATCTATTGACGGCGCGCAAGTTAACGAAACGAAATATACGAAATAAAAGCAAGAGACTTTTAACGATATAGATACCGTCCCTGAAGAGACCCGTTTAGCACGATGCCTTCCAACAGCTCCAGTGGCGCAATTGGTTAGCGCACGGTACTTATAGTGCAGTATCACGTGAGCAATGCCGGGGTTGTGAGTTCGAGCCTCACCTGGAGCATTTCTTTTTTTCTTTTTTTCTTTTTTGTTTTAATAAATGGGTTTGATTTAATCGTTTTCTATCATTTTTTATATTTAACATTGCCACTGCGCACTTAATTTAATTAATTGTCAACATCATAGGGTTTTTAATAATTTTAATATGTAAATAATCTTTGTTACGATATATTTATTTATAGCGACTAGCATATTTTAATATTGCAAAATATTAATGCGAAGAAATTTATATTAACACGAAACGTTTTTCAAATAAACTTTGTCGAAAAATAAATATCATACGTTTCTGGAAATCATTAAAAGATTTTTAAATCTTAGGATATAAAAAATAGCGTAATAAAAAAAATACAAATATGTACAATATATATAATTGTATATAATATATAAAAATGTTTTTTTATTATGCTACTTATATTTTTTTTTCAAAATCTAAATATTTTTCTAAAAATATACAAAATTCATTTTTTGACAAATAAAAATTAATATATTTATTATATATGTTATAATTAATAACACGTAAATTTATAGTACAATAAAAAAAATATAATTACTGTTTAATACATATACTAAATATTATAATATACATTTTACTGCGCTAAAGATATAAACATATAAATAGCATACAAACATATTCCATATATTATCACTGTAAAATATAGCATGTCTAATGTTAACTTTAACAAAAAAAATATAAAAGCATAGGAAGGAACGTGCATACATAATATCAGTGATGTCAAGCTGGAAATGGACATCGTGCAATATATGCGAGTCACAGAGAGAGACCTTCTGACCTAAATTGATCGAGATATAATGGACAGTGTGAGAGGGAAGCCGACATCTCCCGCCGTTATCGTTATTAATGGCAGCCGCGTTAAAATCGAGGATACGCGCGATGTTTTATGCTAAGTACTCGATCGTCAGCCAAATCACGAAATGCGGTATCTATTAAATGGTCCGATGGCCGATGTTCACTGATGTCCGTTCAGGCGGAACAATGACTATTGGGATCCGGTTTCGTAATGGCGTGTGCTTTAAAAACGCTTTAAAAATCCATCCGCGGCTTCGTCGATCCTCAGTCGCAACCCGCTATTCCGAATGTCTCGATTGTGTCATGATTCGCGACATAAGATGTGCTCAACGCAGGTGACGATTTCATAAAAATTTCTAATTGTCTAATTTTCAATTTTGAGCGCTAGAAAAGAATTTTTTCATTCCTCCGCGAATCTAAAAAACTGAAATTACATTAATTAGAGAATTTAAATTTTATACTAAATTAAAATTTTACTAAATTAAAATGAATTAAATTAAAACTTTTATTTACATTAATTTACCAATAATTTATCATTAATTTACCATTAATTTACCAATAATAATTAATAAATAATAATAATTTATTAAATTAATTGTCGTTGCAGATATATCAGTGGCTTCTCTTCGTCAGCGCGATATCCTCAGGGAATCTCGCGAATGGATACGAGTCTCAAGATGCGGTTTTTGTAAATTTCCACCGCAGATATAACATTTCAAAGGTGGCGATAATCCACGATAATAGTTATTTACCTTCACCTCCAGAGATACCTCCAGTTTCGATTCCGGATTTCTCCCTGCCGGAAGTGATCGATAACAAAGCACGAAACGTGCCGGTCGCGGCAACAGACGGGACCAGAAACTATCCCAATGCCTTGTATCATCTCCCCGGGCGGGATTCCTTGCGAGTCCTCACGCGCAAGGGTTTGCAGGACACGAGGTATCCGGGGAACGACGGGTTGCAAATACCTCAGCATCATCGTCGACCCACTTTCCCGCAAGACAAACACGCTCGACAGACCACAACGCCTCCTTCTCTACCTCCTTCCGGTGAAACATCACCGTCGTCCCTTGCAAATCGCGTCAGCGTCGAGGAGATGTCCTGTCAGAACACGGGAGACGAATTGTTCTTCAGGTAATGAAATTCGCGAGGTGGCCTCGTTGCAGTTTAACCCTCAGTCTTACACCTACGCGTCTTCTCCAAACTTTCTCCAACTTTTCAAATCTAAAGTACATTCAACTACAACGAACATTCGTACACTTTGCAATAAGGAAAGAAGATCGATATACATATAAAAGCTAAATAATTTTGTCGATCGTTTAATTTTAATAAAATCGTATTATTTATTCAAGTTTGATAATATTTGATTTTTTTTCATATTATATATATAGAGCATCCATCAAAGCGCCGAGGAACTCGGCGCCGCCGGTGATAGACAACGCGACGGGTGATGTCTGTCGAGCGATAGCGGTCAGGGATTCTTATCGCATTAATTTTGAGAGGGATCAAGTCTGGGACTGCGGAGTCATCGATTGTTCCGCGAACGGCAACCGATCGTACTGCCTCGATCTGAGATTCCCCGTGATCTCTGGTCTGCGACTGAGGGACGACCACAGGGTGACGTTGCGGTGTAAAACCCAGGACAAGATTGCGTATCAGACGAGGCGGATCAGCATGAAAACATTGGAAGCGTAAGATGCGTCATTTGTCTTCTGGCGAAGGTAGCAAAAATAAGCTTCCGTCTGGCGGGAAACGCCGGACTATTCAGATATATTATGCTCCATCCCTCCAGGAAAGCGAGGAACGTACCGGGTCTGCTAAACGGCGGCGCCGAGAATGCCCTCAACGCGGACGTAGGGCTGTTCAGGAAGACTTATGGCTCGAAAAACATTTTCGACACGAGAATACAATCGGGTGGCACGGTTGTCCTCGGCGAGGAAATTCTGCTCCGCGTGTTAGTCAACGATGACGATAGTAAGCGCATTAGGGCTGAACAACGATGATAGTACTATGCATACTTTTGTTTCCTTTAGTAAAATGAATGGTATGCTTGAAACTCCGACAGTAACTTTTCAACGCGTAGTCTGCTAAATCGATAAGTTCATTCGAGAAGAAAGATATATAAGGGAGATTTACACAAGAAATTCGTTATTACAGTTCTATTAAATTAATAATAGAAAAATAATCAGAACAGGCGAGAATCAAGATATATAATTAATATCTAATTCTATTAATTATACTAATTATACTCTAATCAAGTATTTAATTAAATAGAAATATGAGAATAGAGTTGAACAGCAAAATATTTTAATTATACACACTCTTAATTATTTTAATTTTCATGTTTACTCTCTCGCGTCTCAAAGGCTGGCGACATTCGAAAATTGGCCAAGTGACGATACACTATCTAGAGGAACGGCAACGGCAAGAGATTGTCAATAGTCTGTGGATTCTCGATAAGGATGGCTGCTTGAATCCGGACGTACGCGAGATTTGTCCTCGAGAGCAATACGCGGTGTCACCGTTGGAGAATTACCTAATCTTCCAGGCGTTCATGTTCGAGGGTATGAGAGAGACCGATGAGATTTTTCTTACTGTGAGGATCACGGCGTGTCTGGAGCCCGTGGATTGTATTCTGGATTGTCCCGGTAATCACGTTAGACGTGCCAGAAGCATCCCGGAGCGAAATAACACCGTCGAGTGGCAGGACGACCTAGTCCTACGAGTGATTCTTCCACAGTACGAGTCGCGTATTTCGCAGGATTATTATTTAACCATTTTGATATCAGCGGTCGCATTACTCGCGCTAATCGCATCGTTGTGGCTCATCAAGACCTCATTTCGCCAAAAAGTAGCGAAATCCCGAATAACATTAAACCCTTAATTGCATCCCTATGATTATATATAGCATTTTAAACTGTATATAATTGTATAATGAATAAATTATTGTACATTATGTGATTAATTTTAATTTCGCTAATAATGCGATCGTCGCATTCTATGAAAGCGTTAGGTGGGGATTACACATATATTTCGGTCTTATGAGACGCGACTCGGCATCTCCCATGCATCCAGCTCGGAACATAGCTTTAGCCCGACCGCGAACAATGCGAGAGACGCGAATATGCTTCTCACGAACGGGTCCCTGCTCAAAGTGTACACCATGCAAGCCAGAGAGCACGTGCATACGTCCTCGAAGTAGCTGAAGTCCTTCGTCAGATAATAATGATCTATGATCCGCTGACGTTCCTTCAATTTGCGTATAATGCGTTCTGTAATGGGAATGAATTTCGATTTGTAAAATGTAAACTGATATGCATATATAAAGTGTGTGTATATATATATATATATGCAAGTATCGTTAGAAGGGCAGATCAATACAAGAGATGAGTATACTCTTGAAAATAAGCTGACTGCTTGCCTCTCTGCTTCCATACTAAACAGTATGTCTCATCGCAAACATCTGCAACTACAGGCGCAGGCTCACGCGAGACGATCCGATCTATTATCGAATCCTCAAGAGCTCTTGCAGGTATTTCTTCTCTAACCGGTCGTTCTTCAGGCATTGCGGTCACCGCTTCTGGCTCCCTTGGTGCTCTGACAGGTCTTTCGCGATCGATTCCGTTGTACAAGGCGACTGCATTCCTGGAAATTTCACGACGCTCCACCTCCCTCGGCTCCTCCGGAATTTCCCTCGCTATTACGGCAGGCAGAAGCTCCCGCAATTCCTCGTCGATAAATTTCTCGTAGTCAGTAATACCTTCCTCCTCTTCTTCAACATATTCTTCCAACTCTTTCAACTCTACTGAAATTATCGTTTAAAATTATTAATCAGTCAAATTTTTCATAAATTCGTTTCTATCAATTATTATTCTTAATTACAATCTTTTTCTAATTCTTGCGATATTTCTAAGTCAATCTGTGCTGCTGGCGCTCGTTCGATCTCATCTTCAATAATCTCCTGTTTCTCAATCGCGACTAGAACTTCCTCTGCAGGTTCAACTGTGACTCTTTCAACGATCGAATCCTCTTTTTCAACAAAATCGATTTTCTCGTCCGTTATTCTTTTTATTGGAACAGCTTCTTCCTGGATGATCACATGTTCTTCATCTTCCCTTTTCAATTTCTCTCCATTCAAATCAATTTTCTCTTCAACATAGTCAATATCAGGTATCTTTTCTGGGATATCTATTTCTTTCTCGATCACAACTTCTTGGTCTAATTTCTTTTCATTCAAATCGATTTTCTCTTCAACATAGTCAATATCAGGTATCTTTTCTGATGGGATATCTATTTCTTTCTCGATGATCACAACTTCTTCATCTACTTTCTTTTCATTCAAATCGATTTTCTCTTCAACATAGTCAATATCAGGTATCTTTTCTGATGGGATATCTATTTCTTTCTCGATGATCACAACTTCTTGGTCTAATTTCTTTTCATTCAAATCGATTTTCTCTTCAACATAGTCAATATCAGGTATCTTTTCTGATGGGATATCTATTTCTTTCTCGATGATCACAACTTCTTGGTCTAATTTCTTTTCATTCAAATCGATTTTCTCTTCAACATAGTCAATATCAAGTATCTTTTCTGAGGGAATATCTATTTCTTCCTGAATGATCGCGGGTTCTCGATCTATTCTCTTTCTATTCAAATCAATTTCCTTATCAATGCGATCAGCTATTTTTTCTATTGAATTAACAGGGAATTCCTTGGTGACTATTTGTTCCTGGATAGATTCGGTTTCAATATCTTTAGTACTTCAGACGGAATATCATTAACAGATATTTCATGAATATGTTTAGGCTCGATTACCGGAATATCTCGTGTGTTTTTTGAGATAACATCCACTGGAAGTGGCAAAACTTCATTGTTCTTTTTCCGTGGAAAAATCCCGTCCGTTATATTAGGGAATTCCTTGACTGTATGTTATTAAAAAGAAAAGTTGAAACATTTACTAAACGTAGTAATAATGTTGATTCTAAATCATAATTCTATAAAGTAACATACTTGCTTTACGGAGTTGTTCCCTGACTTTGGGACAAGTTATAGGACATCGATTTTTTGCAAAGTCAGGTTTTTTACAAGACATTTAGAATTTATATGTAATACATCACGCTTCTGTAGATTACATGTTTATCCGTAGGATGCATTATTTCACGATTTTGTAAAATGAAATTTGATCTAATAAATTGTGATTATCTTTACTTTAGCATTGTCAATTTCATTCTTTTGTTGAGATTGACAAGCAAATTTCATCACACAAGGAATTTTCATACTCGCAGTCTCGTAGTGTGTATAGTTTGCATCTGTATTCACTCTGCAACATTTGTAAGATCTTATAGAAATAACAGAATGACTTCGATAACCTCGTCTGAAAGTGTACTCGATTATTTAAACAAAAATATATTCCCGATTTTGTTAAATGCAATGGAAGAAATGTTATTCGAAGCTGATCGCCGAAATGCTTTAGAAGTATAACATTACGTGTTTTATCAGAACGCAAAAAACATTTTGAAAAAAATTACTATGCTTTATAGACACAGAAATGCTCCTTCAATGGATTGGATTATCTCGCGGAAATCTTATGGAATCGAAATTCACGTCACCCGAGTAGATTGTGTACTTGGCAAAATGTGTTTGACATACCGCAATTTAAGCTATGGTTAAAGTCCTAGTAAGAAGAAAACATCCTCGTTTCTTACAAATTATTTTATTACATCTTTTTTAGTCCTAGGCCAATTTATCCGAAATCATGGTTATGGACCAAAGAAGAAGCGGCTTTACGTATACAGAGATGTGTTCGTGGTTGGCTCGTTAGGAAAAGAACGGATGTCCAGGAGATGCGTCAATTTTGGAAAGTATTATTAAGACATTAAAATACAAGTTTAATAGTTCTCATGTAAATTCCAGATTATTCGTGCAGAGAAAACAGACGTCATTCCTGAACTGGATTGCACATTGAATAAAGCAGAGTTTTAAAAATTGGATTCTCTTTTTATCTCTAACAATAATTCAGTGCATATTTAAGGAATAATTTATAAAATATTTATTCTTAACAACTACATATGGATATAAAACCTCACGAAACTGTCGTCTCTTCTGCTTTTGGATAAAGAGTACTAGATTCATCTAATTTAAAATTTAGTTTGACTGTCGGAGTTTCATTCTCCTTAGCTATTCTATAATTTTTTACGCTTGCTGCTTCAAAGTTATATTTAAGATCTAATTTCAACTCTTCTGGCGGTGTGATGCCTTTCGCTTTCATCTTCTGGATCATCATTTCTAAAAACAGTGGTGGAAAATCTGTCGTTCTGGGTAGGATTCTCTGCTCTGATACTTTGGTGTTATTGAGAAACAGGTGCTCTTGATCCTTAGGTACCAATTGATAATCTGCTTTGTAACTCGCAGCATCTATTTGTACCGGCTTTGGATTCTTATGGCCACGAAAGACTCTCTCTACCAGCACCATAATTTTGCGATCGAGCTAAAGCAACATGAATGTAACCAAATCAGAGAATATGATACAGAAATTATTATCTAAAGGAACTATCGTTTCTAAAAACTTACGTAGGGTTCCTCGGGCACGGGCATCCCGCCGACCTTTAATATCTTCATGTAACAAGCTTCGGGATACCTTTGAAAGCGATTCCTTATCACGAGCCTACCAACGCCGAAATTCTTCAGATTCCCCAAGATCTCCCACAAGGGCTTTCCCTTGAAGTCTGTCGTGCGACCGATAAATTTTATAGGCATTATAGTACGTAGTGACCGGCAACAGCAGTCAACTTGTCGTTTGAACTCTAGGATTTTTCTTAAGATCAATTGCGTATTTATACGGCTGTTCGATTCCTTCTCGATATTATCCTCGATGTTATCCTTATTCGCAGTTATTCACAAGATGTGACATCGAAATCAATGTTTATTTCACGTGTTTAAAATTACATGTATTTCAAGTGACGATACACAAGATGTTTTGAGAGAGAAAGATCGCGCGAGAGGTTAGATTTCTTGATTTCTTCGTTCCGACAAAAGGCTACAGATGGCAGTAACGATACCAAAATATTTCCTCGGATGTTCTCAGATGCGGTCAGCGCACCTCGGAGTGATGTCAATTCAAATTTAGTGTGACATGCGAGCGGTGCACGTAATGGACTTGTTCTTTTTAGCTTTATTTTCTGTATCGTTCATTTTTCTTTTCTTTCTATATAAAAATATCAATTCATATTGACACGCGATGCTTACTTTTAACGTCGTAGATCAAAGTGATGCAAAATAGTAAAACTTAAATGATCACTTTTGATGACGATTTGTTTTGATGCTGAAAATATTGGACATCAGCATGAAAAGGTCAGACAGAAAAGAAGAAAAAAAAGAGAAAAAAAAGGTAAAGAACAAATTAATTGAGATTAAAATTAATAAACATAATTCCTATAACAATAGGTTCGATTGCAGATGCGTATGCGCGTACGCGCATGGAAGAGAATTCCGAGTTATTCTCGATATATTATGATTATGATAACTATATTTTCTTCAAGAAAATAAAGGACAAATCTGAAAATTTTAGAACTTTATTCCTACATGTTTCCAAATCAGTTTGGGGCTCTTAGAGATCTGTGCATTACGAAATTTTCTTACGTACCAAAATAAGATACTCTTTATGCAATTTTCTATATTCTAATAGTTTGACTATGTTGGGACAAATTCTTGATTTAAACTTATATAGGAATAAGTTTGAAATAATAAAAAATAATTCTTTAAAAATTTTTTAGACCAAAGGACGTATGGGCATAATCATGATACGATTCGGAATACTCGGCAGGAAAAAGCAGTCATGGTATAAATATATGTAAGTTATTTATTTAAATTGATAAATATATATAAGCAGTTGCAAAGAAAATGCATTACTCGACGATCCGAATGCTCGAATCACATTTCGCGAATTATTGCGTATGTATTATTAGCCGGTGCGCAGGAGCGCGAGATCGCGCGAATCATGGCGATCCGAGGATCTATGTACAATAAGTTAAACATTTTTAAATAGTAAGAAGAGAGAGAGAGAGAGACATTTTGCCTAGATGATAACAAATGAACGAAGATAAGTAGCGATCGCGCGAATAAATATATCTCTTCAAAATCTCTTAAAAAATTATAACTCGCGCTTTAATATAAATACACATCTCTCTCTTTCTATACATGTATATATGATTAAAATTAAAATTCAGTTTTTTTTCGCTCGGTTTCGAGGAATCTGGCGAAACTTCATCAAATCTCTTCACTCATCGGATACGACTTGTCAATGACCGGAATTTTCTATTTCAGTAATCCATGGTCTGTCGGATCCAGTCGAGGTAATGAGAAACCCGCGTGTAGACCCCGGGTACACCAGGTTGACCGCAACCGATGCCCCAGGAGACGACGCCGGTCAACTGCCAATGGCCATTACGCTCGCAGACCATCGGGCCGCCGCCGTCGCCTTTGCAAGCATCCTTGCCCTCTTCTCCGCCGGCGCAGACGAAGCCTGGATGAAGGTTGAAGCTAGGCCCCAATCGCGTCCGCCTCATCTGCTGCTCGCACACGTGGTGACTGACGACAGGTACGTCCACCTCCTTCAATATATTCTGGTATTTGCCGTAATCGCCGAAGGCGTCCTTGCCCCACCCAGTGGTCCAGCATCTGTCAATTGCATTGTTCGTTAGATTTAGATTAAAGTCATCGAAGCATTCCATCTTCACGAGCGAGAGCTCGTTCGAGTTTCAATCGTAAGATTATTTGACTTTTAATAATGGATTTTTTTTAATTTATTAGAATTATAATTTATCATGTAAATAAATTTTTTCTGAATTTCTGTTTTTCTGCTTTTTTGAATTATCTAATTCTCCTTTCTTTGTATATGAGGCAATATTAAGTTTTTAAGAAGAATAAAAAATAATTCAAGTTGCTATACTATTGAATTAGATTTAGAATTAGATTATTTTAGAATTTAGATTTATACGAACCTCCATTTATATATAACTAATTTCTTAAAATTCTTGTATTCATTATACATTAAGAATTCTTGTAATGTTATAATAGACTTAATAACACTAAAATAACACTAAAATATTCTATTGAAGTAAATTTTTTTTTCATCGCTGTATCGTGATAAATTATTTCGCTAACAAATCTAGTTATAAGGATTAGAATTCGATAACTTGAAATTAAAAAGAATTTTCACTGGAAATTAACGCTGAAAATTCTTTGAAATTATTTTTATCTGTAAATTATAAAAGAACACACCTTATTCCAGTGAAATCATCATGTTTGTCTGGCAAGCAGGCGGCACTAATGTGAGGGTTCTTTCCAAAATCGACGTCATGGTCTAGCTTCAAAATAGCGATGTCGTTGGCGAGGGTGCCGGCATAAAATTCGGGGTGCACGAAAACGCTCACAATGTCGCGTTCGATGTAAGGATAGAACTCGACGTCGTGATTCACGTCCCATTCGCCTAATCGTGCGCGAAGATCACGACCGGCGTGAGTCTTCACGCAATGAGCGGCAGTGATGATGTGTCGGGGCGAGATCAAAGTACCTCCGCAAACGTAGACACTTTCCGTGGTGTCCTTCTTCAGGATAGCCACTTGCCACGGGTATTCGCCTGAGTAGAAAAGATTTAATATAACAATGTGTAATATAATTTAACATTACGTATAATATCTAAAATACGATATTCAAAATTATACGCGTGAAAAATAATAAATTGCAAAATAATAAATTGTTAAGTACTAAAATTGCAACATATGAAATTATATATCAAATATTTAAAGCAAATGAAAAATTAATGTTTGCAATTTAATATTACAATAATAATATCAAATTTCCAATGACCATTTAACGTTTTATTAAAGTGAATCGATATCGCGTATCGGTAAAATTACGGATTTATGTGACAATATCAATTAATCCGTCTATTTTGCTATTTTTGAAATTACATTAAAGAAAGAGAAACGTCCAACAGTTTGTGCTTTTCATCTTAATATTCCCAAAACCCCAATGGGTGTTTCTCCGGGAAACGTCTCTAATTCAGAGTATCGACAGTTTCCTTTTCTGCAAACGCCATTCACGGTAAATGCTATTCAATAAATTGCGTCAGAGAGTCGCGTACCGAATTCCGAATCTCCGTCGACATAGACCGGATTCTTGATGCGGCCATTGATGCCTTGCGTGTTCCTAACTCCGCATTGACCTCGTTGTGGGCGTGCTCCTATTATGTGCGATCTTCGGCAGCAGACGTGATGAGAACCGCAAGCCGGCGGACGTCCGTATCGTCTCTGCGGATAAAAACAATGTCGGTCAATGGATCTCGTCCCGACGAATCTCGTAACCTGGGTCTACTTATCGTGCCCTCGATTTTTATCTGTACGTCGCCGCTCAGTTTGACAGTCCCGCGTTTCGTTAAGTTCGCGGAGTCGTTATCATCCGTGATATCGTCGTCCTGAATCGTCCGCTTTGCGGCCTTAGCCGCTTTACCAGCGGCTCTACGATCTACTGCAACGGTTAAGTCTGTTCAGCGGAGCGAGCAGATCAACCGACCGTGTCCTTACCTCCAATGTTACATCGCTAAACGCCGTCGTGTCGCGTTTCCTTCTATCCGAGAAGGTGATCTTCCCGCTCGTTTGTCGCTCGCCGGCCGATGCCTGCGGCGAGACCTTCGGCAAATCCTTCGTCCGGTATTGTCCGCCTCCCGTCGCGTTTCTCGCGCGAGCACTCCTGTAGTAATCATCCTGATAATCATCCGAATAATCATAGTCGCCGTAATCATCGTTATCATCCTTGAAGTAGGAGGGATTGTATCCGCCGTGGTAGGGGGGCTTATGGTAGATCGGTTCGTGATGGTGAATGTCATACGACGGGTAGAATGGCGGTCTCGACGGGTAATGATAGATCGGCCTCTCGTGATGCGTATGATAATGGGGAGCGTAAACGCCGTAATGTCCGCCGTAATGACCGCCATAATTACCGGCGTAATGACCGCCGTACAGCCCGTACTTCTTGTAGGCCAGGAGATGGCCCAGCTTGTGAACGAGTCCTGGATGGGGCGTTACGTGAAGGTTCACGTAAGGTTTGATAACTTTCTCGCCGTACTCGTCTTTGGTGACCTGCACCGCCACGAGCGGATTCACGGCGACCGGACCTAGATTTATACCCTGTCCGCCGACCAGCCCGTAGCCCGGGATCCCCAGGGGGGGCGCGATCGGACCGCCGGTCTGCGGTAGGCCGAAACTGACGCCCCAAGTTGGCCTCACGTTCAGTTTCGAGGTGTCCAGATTGCCGGTTCCTACCGTCAGTCTCTGCAACGAAGAGAGTCGAACAAACATTCACCATGGAACCGTGAGGTCTTCCTCCCCCTTTCTCTCTCTCTCTC